GTGCCGATGAGGGGCATTAGAGGTTCCCATGTGGGGAGGACGTACGGGTAAAATGGTACCAGCTTGTACGCATAATTGCTTGAATTGAATGCTAAATTAGGAAGACTTGCAGAGTTATGCCCTTACCTGAGTCACAATTTGACGTGGAATTCATGTCTCCACACATGCACAGCTGCCTAATCCCATTAGAGCCATACCCGCATGTTCCACCAGTTGCCTCACAGGCTCTACAGAACTCCTCGTTCCCTTGAACAGAATATTTCACTCGGATCCCAAAAGACCATTCACTAGGTCCATCAACCCTTAATGGTGCAAGACTATAAGCACTACTATAACCTTCACAATCAAGTTTACTGAGATTTATAGCCCTAATAGCCTCAAATGACACCGCACAACATTCTGGGGGACCTGACCCGAACATCGAGCCCATTTGTCCACGGCCCGCTAGACTCCATGCTGGGCACCCATAGTACTCTTCGCAGCCCATACCCGAAACGTTTCGACAAGGCAGGTGCTTCCCAGGGAATCCTTGGAACAGTGATGATTGAGCGGAGCAACCTATTAGCATGAACACGTTATCAGCGGTCGGGTTGAAGTATGGAGACCGCCATTGCTCGACTGCGAAACCATTACCCTTGCCACCTAGCACAAGGGTGTCACAGGTTGACAAGTGAGGCTCGTGGATTGTGACAGATTGATATGCATAGTCTATTTCTAGCACTCGGTATGATCCTGAGCTTATATGAAACATCAGTACATCATTCATGCAAAATAAGAGGTCCCTGAAACCTGGATGGCCACAGCCATATTGGAGTGCAAAAGGGTAGTCAATAGTTATGTTACCGCAATAAGATCGGCAAGGGTTATTGACATGCACATTACTGGCAAAACTCAGAGGGACTAAAGATGAAAGAATTGAAAGGATGATTAAGAAGAGTCTGCTCATGTTTGTGATCGGTGATATTTCAAGAAGGGAAAGGTGGAGATGTGACAAAGAGAACAGAGGGTTAGCTAGTGTCTTGTTGGGGGGAGGAGGAGGATAGTGAAGGAGATCAAGTAATGATACTTCGCTTGGATAGCTGAGGAAATGTCTGGTGTTGTGGGGTTGATCTTGGTGGGTTGCTTTATTCACATGTAGTGTTCAGGAATCTTATGTGATGTATTGTTTAAGGGTTACTTGTTATCTTTTTGAAGGAAATTGTTCCGAGGCCCGGCTGCCCTTTTCATGTCTGCTAGCTTTAGTTTGCTTTATGGACTGCGGAGTGAATAAATACTGTCGGGACCAAATGATTTTGCTGGGTTTGCTTTATGATCATGTAGACATTGATATCAAGCTTGTTTATGACTATCATGGTGGGACTAGAAATGATTTATTTGCATGACATAAGGTATGGCAGGGTTTCTTCGGTTACGCTGATGATTCCTGGGAATCTGTAGTTTGTGATTTTATGTTAGTAAGGGTGATCTACGATTTGACAATTGTTCATCAATCTTTGCGCTGAATAAAATCACATATTGCACTTTAATAACATAGACTAAAGTTCATAATATAAATAATATCTTTTAATATAAATAATGTAATTGTGAAGCTCTAATCAGATATAATAAAATAGCATTTATTATAATAAAAGAATAGCTTCTCAAATCCATCAAAAATAAGCTGTTATAAAAAAATATACACTTGAAAATAATAAATAACAAGAGATTAAACTCAATAATTTAATATATATATTCAAGTAATAAAACAAAAAAAAATACACTTGAAAATAATAAATAACAAGAGAGTAAACTCAATAATTTAATGAATAAATAACATTTAATATATACATTCAAGTAATAAAACAAAAAAAAACATATATAATTTTAACTTTAAATTTTTACATGAAAGTTTCACAAACAGAAGATACCAAGAATTCTATGGTCTGTTTGTGAAACTTTCATATTAGTCGTACAATATGCTCTCTGGGGCGAATCCTCCCCTTTATGCTAAAGAGATGTGTAGGAGTAGCTTTGTGGGAAATCCAGGTTTGTGCGGTGATTTGGAGGATCTTTGTCCACAGGAGGGAGGGTGATTCGAAGAAGCAGGGTTTCTTGTGGATTCTTCGGGCGATTGTTTTTAACTTGCTGGTATAGTGTTTGGATTTTTTAACCTGCTGGTATAGTGTTTGTTGTTAGCGGGGGTATTATAGCCTGCATGCCAAAAAATTATAAATTATATCTTGATTAAATAAATAGAATTATATCTCAAAATTTAATTTGTGATATTAATTAAACACACCTATATCTCATATCTAGAATTTAAATTCAATAAATAATCATAATTTATCATAACAAATATATATATATATATAAAGTTTATTTTATACTAACAATTTAAATATTTATATTATTTTTCATACATGTAGAATATTAGCTACAAAAGTATATATTGAAGAAAATCATACTTATATCTTGTAGATAAAATATTTAAATCATTTAAATATAAAAAAATATTAAAAAACAACTCGAAAATACATGTGTATGTGTGTGTGTTACTTAGATCTAACTCATAATCTTATATGTTTAGAAATCAAAATGTAATTATAAAAGCAAAATGGATCTACCGATTGATTCCAAACATAATTTAAACCCTACTGCATAAGTAGTTGGTCTACTAGTTCAACCTAGGAGGTAAAATGAAATCCACACCCAATCAATCTATTAGTTCAACCAACTGGTTAATTAAAATCCAACTAACAATTGATGTATTGGTTCAATTCAACTAATCGACTGGTTGGTTATAAATTCTAGACCAGTTTCATCTAAAATAGCAAATTCAAAATATAAGTATAAAAGCGAAACGGATATACTCTATTGATTACAAACATAACTTAAACTGAACAAACCTAAAAGATATAAGCATACTCAACTATATAATCAACTGGTTTACCAATTCAACCCCATTGGCTTACCAAAATCCAATAGTCAACTGATCTACCGGCCCAACCCAACTAGTTGACCAAATGGTCAGGAATTTCAAACCGATTTCATCTAAAATGGCATATCCAAATCTCAACTCAACCTCAAAAAAACCCAACGTAATCAACTTTTAACAATTCAAACACTTAATAGAAGTGAATAAAAAAAATCAAAAAACTGATGAAATCAAAAAAATCAAAAAAATAATTAAAAAAACTGATTCGTGAAAAAAAATCAATTAAACCAATAAAATATTGAAAAAACCAATCGATATCGATTTAATAAGTCTGAAACAGAAAAAACTTATATGAACTAAGCCAAACTAAAAAAACAGAGTCAAACCAGAAAAAATCGAGCCAAACAAAAACCAAACCCATTAAAAATTAAAAAAACCTAAAAAATAATATAATTTTTAATTTTTAATATAAAATAATTAAATTGAAACAAGTCGATTTCATATCGTTTCCTCAAACAAAATAATTTATTTTTTTTTATTTTTATGAATAAAAACCAAATTGAACTAAAAATAATAACTCTTACCACTCACACTATAATCAATTATTCCATCACAAAATAGCAAACTCATCAATTAATCTCTAAAAATACCACTTCAATACCTAAAATTTAACAAATCCAAAATCAAAACTAAAAACCACAATTATAAACATTGAAACTTAAACCTTAACACTAACACTCAATTTCTTCTAACTTGTCTTCTCTCCTTTAATCTCCCCCCTCCCTTAACCCCCCTTCTCCTTCTTCTTTCTTTCCCTCTCTCGGCTTTCTCTCTAAAAATCTGATCTCTCTCTCTCTCTCTCTCTCTCTCTCTTCCTTTCATATTTATCAATTCTCTTGTGCAATTACCTCATGTCCCTCATTCATGTATACCTCAAATCTAATCCTCTAAAGGTATTGTTTCCATTTCCTATTAATTTTCTCTTTTATTTTCAAAACATCACACCAATATTTAGAACATGCATTGGAATTCTGTATATGCCAATCATGGTGTCTTATTCGACTATTTTATTCTGTTTTTTAACATACAGTAAGCTATAGCAGCGTTCTCACTGGCAGTACCAATTGGTCCAGCAAGCTGCAAAAACATCCATGTTGATTAGAAATTGTTTTGACTTCAAAAATAACAAGTAAAATCATGGGTGTTTGAGCAATCTACAGGACAGGAGCAGTTTTTACGGCTGGGAATTTTCTCTTCTTGCTTCCTGACAATGCTGTTGAATCCGTATGAATAAATTGTTCTGTATTCTCCAATCATTCTATTGAGCAACGCATTTCATGTATTCTCCATCAAACTTACCAACGACAATTTCGAAATTGTTCTGGCGATGCCAGATGAAACTCTTCCTACGTGGGCAAAGAGTGCTTGGGTTTATTGATGGCACAAAGTCGTGTTCCCCCATGCTGCTTCCAGGATCAAGCGGTGGATAAGCACAAGAAAAACTAGCATGCTATGCTTGGATTCAACTAGATCAACTTATCATCAGTACACTGATCCCCTCCCTTCCAATGATGTGTTGCCGTTGATCATAGACTGTAATCCCTTCCAATCCGCCTATGAACTCTGATGGCAATTGAGCAGCAATTATTTGGAGATTACAACAATTGTTAATCATGAGGACGAATATGCCTCTATGTTAATTGAAGGCAACTCATTGTTGGGGCAGTCAGGTTCCTCCTGCTTCCACTTCAGAACCTCTTTCGCATATATAAGAGCTTAATCAACATTATCAGGCTCCAAATCAGTACCTAGTGTAGCATACAACTTCCTGTGAGTAAGAGAATTGAACAATCTCTTCAACTTTACTGCAATAATGTATTGGTACTCTGCCGCTGGTGGCATGCCAAATGGTGGCAAAACAAAACCTGCAGTGTGGAAAGAGCATTGCTGCAGTTACCCCTTTCAATCTGAGAAGGTTGTGCTCGAACAATAGTAGTTAGGTTCTGAGTATTTTATTGAAGTTGAACCATCGTATGTGCATCCACATTACCTATATTCCCCTAATAACTTCGATCTTGATTCATGTCTTGAAGATTTTATTTGGTCTTTGCCCTTACGATAGATCATAACCATATGTTGCAGGGCCAAAGTCTGTCTGCCTCTTCCATGCTTCTTGCTTCAGCAGTTGATTTTATTGTTGTAGGAGGGCAATATTTCAATGTATGTTTTGATCACTGTCTATCAGACACTCATTTTCATTGGTAGGTAAAAAAACTAGTGCTCTAAAAGGCCTTATCTAGCTGATTGCTGCATATGGCCTTCACCACCATGAAAGAAAGACCAGGTGACAATCTTAAGGCATCCAGTAGAAAGTTGCTGATTTCTTAGTGTTTTCTCTCATCTCACTAGTTTTTTATCCTGAATGGTCTATCTTTCCATTCTCATTAACCATTAATTTGAAGATCACAGCTTAATCAAAGGATGGCAGAGAAGGATGAGACAACGTAGCACTATTGAAAGTTGAGGACAGCCATATTGAGGGGAGAAAAAAGAGAAGCGTTATCTTACAGCATTTTGAAATGTCCATTCATTCCATCCTCTTAACAAGCATTGAAGGAGCAGCGAATGAAAAACCATGCCAGAAGAACAGGACAGGTTTGGGAATACAACACCAAAGAAGCTCAGTGGGAACTGGCAACTTGGCAAATATAAGCTCTGATCAACATTCAGCACATTATTTTTTTTTTCATTTTATTCTTTCATGGGCTGCTTCTAATCAAAAGTTAAAAGCAGGAATGAATGATGTAGAAACACTATCTTAGGTTAACAACCTAGGGCAAAGAGGTCTACTGAAACAACGTGCGTGAACAAGACTGATACGTTCATTCTTATTTTGAACAAGTTCTCAGAATTCAACTCTGTATTCTTGACTCTTCAAGGCACCTTACCCGCTTGTTATTTTCATATTGTTGCTTCTGTATTTCTCTAGTTGCTCTTGAAGCCAAGCAGAGTTCCTCTAGGAAGATATAAGAGAGTTGAAACAAAGATGACTAAATAGAATCCGAGAAACATTCACTGGTATCAAGAAACTTACTTGGTGCCTTCATAAAAAAATTAGAATCTCCAGCTTTGATAATGCATTTATATCGACAGAATCCAAGGATAGTTCAGAAGTAAAATAAAAATGAAGTCAATCTAATTTCCTAAGCAATTGAACAAACAAAATAAAAAAGATCTCGAAAAAGAGACCTCCAAACATCTCTCATATATACATAGTGATAGAGCATTACTTTATTTTAAAGGGTGGCCACAAGATCAGGGAACCAGGCACACGGCAAAAGCTTTCCTGTAAATCTACATGGGAAATGAGAAATCTAGAAACCTTCAGATTTTTTTTTTCAAGTTTCCTTCAAGCCTCTCAATTGTTGCCCCAACACCACTTTTTGCTTCTCCCCTCTCCCCCAAGCTTCCTTCATTTGCTTTCTCTACAAGCTTCAAATGAATCCACCCTGTTGCAAAATGCAATGTTTGCATTAGAAACTTCCTTCTTCTTCTCAATTAATTTTATTTGTCATTTTCTAGTTTCATTTTAACCCCAAGTTATCATTTCAGAGCATCAATACTGCCTGCTCAAATGATGTTGCAATTACATAAAGGGCCCAAAGATTACAAGAACAGTCTGCAGAATTTTGGGACAGTTCTTCCATTGCAGTTTCTTATAAGGAAAGGAAGTTCCATATCAAGTAAACACATCTAAGCAGTCAAACTGAATTCATTTTATTTAACAAAAACCACTTAGCAAGGGAAAATTTAAATACTTAAGATGTGATCGATTACCAAGAGGAAAACAGAATGCTGCACCCATAACTAATCCAAGCAGCACATTCCTTGCACGCCACCGAAGAGAGCCAGGCACTAACATAGAAAGGTTACACAAAAGCATTAGTGTTAATACTCGTGGCTCCTAATTCAAACTCCATAAGGAGCTGAAATTGAAAAACACAAATTCTTTCCCCTGTACAGAACCATTAGGAAATTTAAATCAATTTAGTGAACTAATCCCACGAAAAGAAAAGGTAGGGCAAATAATTTTCATGCATGAGATATGAATTATTACTAATTAAACCAAACGTTGCAGCAGTGGCAGATCCGGCTCCAACAACATTATAAATACCATGCACCCCCAGTTTCTCAGCCAGTAGATTTTGTAATCCATAGAATTCAGCGGTGAACATTCCAAGTCGTACTCCACCAACTATGGAACCGCGAGTCACTCGGATAAACCTTTTCTCCATAGCATCTCTCATTAATCTATGCTGTTCACGCTTATCTGGAGTGCTCCCAAGCTTTAACATCACTTCTGCATCCTTGCTCTGCCGAAATGACAAAAGTCCTGAGTTTCAGTAGTATATGTGAAAGATATGAAGACAAGTAGAGAAAAGCTAGTATATGGGGGACAAAAAAACATCAACCTCAACAAATCCAGAAAAATCATACAAGAAGAAGAAACATCAATAGGACACATTAAGAACAGACAGAATTATAAAAGATAAAAAAAAAGAAGAAGAAGGCACTGTGCTAGTGCGGAGGCAGCCAATTTTTACAATCAGAGACAAAAAGTCTTTTTTCCACTAGTAGATGGTACAGAAGATCAAAATTATGGTATATCAGCATACAAAATTTCAATATACAATATGCCAATTACTTCATAAATATCCTCATGTCAAATAAAATGCTATGAAAGAGGTTCCTACATGCCACATACCCAGAGCATTGTAATCTCAAAAAACATACTATAAGAAAATAGCTTTGAGCGAACCAAAATTATAGAAGACTGAGATTCAAAGTATCTACATACAAAATATCATTTACTTCACATATATTCCCATATCAAGTAAATTCCAATAAGAACACACAAAGATTATGAGTATTATCACTTATAAGGCTATAAACCAACGCTTATGCATTACAATGGACGAAATTATCATCCATCCTCTTCAATTTCTGCTTAGAACGGAAACAGTGAATTCCTACCTCTTCCCTTCTTCCATACAGAAGTATATATTACTGATGGAACCCAATTTAACCCTTAAGTCTTAACATACCAAGGTAAAATCTCAAAGTCACAAACTATAGATGATTTTTAATAAGCACACATGAAAATTCCAATACCATTTTCTTTTTTATTTCATAGATAATTCCTATTAGAGCAAGAAAAGGCAATGAAAAAATGTGACAAATCTGAAAGAGAACAAACCACAGATGCAGCTGCCTCCTTGCTACCTCCATACAACATGCCTGCAAATACTCCAACCACAGTCGCCGTACCCCAGTTAACAGTTCCAGCTATTTTTGGAGCATACTGCTTTCCATAAGAAAAAAAATCTCAAAATATCATTAAACACTAGATATAAATAATATATTCAAAACATTCAAAGGTCTGAAGCTCCCTTCCAATAAAATTTTACCAATAAAATTGAGAAGATGAATTGACCAGCTAGGGTTTCTAGGTTATGAATTAACATCACATTTTCTTTGAAGGAACACACTTAACTTATAGTCGAAAAAAATTGACGATCAGAGATGAAGAATTCGATGAAAGATAGGATTTTCAAAGAAAGAGATCTTACAGTGGAGACTGTTTCTTCAGTGCCTCCCATTAATAAAAATCTTCTTATTTATATTACTATTTTTTTTTCCCCTTGAGTTTCTTGGCAACTAAACAGAAGGTGATACTGATAAATAAATCAAAGCGTTATGGAAGGACCGCCGTAGGAGCAGCCCTCTCTCAGTCGGTAAAGTGAAGGGGATCGAGTTCAATTCTAAATGCCCGTACTACCCTTACACCTTCCTCCTTACAAATTCACTAATCCCGGGGCACGCGTCAAGTGGTCTGCTTGTCTAGCAGCGTGGTAGTTATAATTTTTTAAATAATATTAGTATATTAAAATAATTTAAAACATATAAATTATATTAAATTTTAATAAAAAAAATTAATGTTTTTTAAAATAAAGGTTGAAGTACGTTTTAAACAATTCCTTAAAAAAATATAATCATCAAAATATATATAGGATATAATTAAATCGTAGCAGTTATGGTTTAAAATATTTTTTATTTTAAAAAATATTTTTTAATTTTTAAAAGTTATTTTTGAGATTAAAATATAGTAAAAAAACTACTATTAATTAAAAATATGCATTGAATCTTAAATAATAAAAGGTTTTGTTATTTAATAAAGAACAAATATACTAAAAAAATTACGGTATAAATTTTTAAAAAAATAAATATATCTTAATGAAACACTTGAGACTTGGTAATATACGAAGTCCTGGCATACTAAGTTAAGTTGCTGGGTTTAGCGCTAGCTAAACTTAGACTTGATTGGGTTTGAGAATGTAACAACCACCGACCAAAAAGTTATGCAAACATAGTATAAACTCACACACATACACTGTCTTGATTGGTTAAATAGGGTTCCATCAACTTACAACAGGAATCTGAAGTCCAAATGCTTTTGTCATGGCCCTAGTTCCCTGATCTTGTCGCAGCCCTTTCAAATAAAACAATGCTCAATTCAGCCCTCGTTAAAGCATCATCGTTTGATAAAATTAATGCATAAACATAACTGGAGATTCTAGTCTGAAATTATCTTCTATGCAAGGCATCAATAATTTTTTTAGTTTTTTATTTTTATTTTTTATATCATCGCATTCAAATAATAAAAATAAATAACAAAAAAACAATAATTAACATTTTTTTTTCAAAATAAACACATTTTTAAAAAACATTTAAAAACAAAATCACCACAATATCAAACAAGCCTCCAAATACTAGAAAGAACAGGTGTACAGTGATATTAGAAGTATAATAATAATTGTTTCTTAAAATGTTTTTAACTTAAAAAAACATTAAAATTATTTTTTATTTTTTAAAATTATTTTTAATACCATCATATTAAAAAAATTAATTTAAAATAAAAATAAATAATTTTTTTAAGAAAATACTTTTAAACCGTAATACCAAATAAAACTAAAAATCAAGCATGTATAGCTTAATTCTGATAACTTGCCCAAAAGGAGCATTTAGTCTTGTTAGGCATATTCTTCCAGAGAATGCCTTTCATCATTCGTCCTTGCTTCTAACTCCTGATTCATATTACATTGCATGATTGAACCAGCCCAATTAAAGAATAAAATGACAAATTAATGTGTCTAACGTTGATCGGAGGTTTCATGAAACACAGAACAAAATTTCACCTCTATTTCTAAAGTACAGAAGGTATAGCTTATAGTTGCAAACTTCCCACCAAGTTTCTTTCATGCTAGATCCCCAAATCTTTCTAGTTCTTCTGGCATGGCTACTGCACCGCTTGTTAAAACCATGAACGCATCTTACAAAGTTGTATGATAGCGCTCTTCTCCTGTTTCTCCTCTCTGTATGGCTGTTCTAAACTGGAAACCATAACTTGAAAAGGTTCGGGGGTTCCTCATACACGGATATAATCAGGAAACGAGTTATGATTCTTCCTTGCCTGCAATTAATCAAAATTTGACGTTAAGGACTGTAAATTGGGTTCTTTTCAACTTCGAGAAATAATGACACCAGCCAGTTCAGATGAACATTCACCATCATCGTGGTTTAGTGTTGTGTTCTCTTGTGCCTTCTTTGACATCCTTTTAACTGATTCAGCTGTGATCACCAAACTAATGGTTAATACGAAAGGGAAAGGAAAGATCGAACATTCAAGCAAAACCTAGATGAGATGGAGAAAATGAAGAATTAAGCATCTTTCTATTGGATGCTTTAAGCTACCAATTGGTTGTTCTATTCATGGTGTTAAAAACCAAGAGCAGCAACAGGCCTTATGCGAGAATAATAAAACCTTCTTATCAGATCTCACCCTTAAATTTTCTTTTCTTGTTAGCCCTCCTCCTCTTCCGCTCGGCCTTTGTAAGTTCTGCTTCTTCCTTGATATTACCTTTGCCCAAAAAAACTTCCTCAGGAGCCAACATAGCTGCATCTGAAACTGCCATTGGTGCAATCTATCCATGGAAGACAATGTGTATTAGCAAGTTGAGTCACAAAATTCAGACTGGAGAGAATACAGAGGTATCTTTTTACCTCCTCCATAGCAAGAGCAGGGACATTTGCTTGGATAGACATGTCCTCTATGACCTATCAAACACACATGAGATCAATTTAAAAAAA